ACAATATTACGCTGTGTAAAAAAATGCTTATTCATATACGAGTTCTTATATTACAAATTATAGTATTTATAATAACTTAATATATTACTGAAAGCTGGTATAACCAGCGTTCCGATATATTCCACGAGTCTTGGGATACAATAAAGATCACCTTTTTTTATTGTGTGAAAAAAGTAAAAATATCAGAAAGCAGTTCTGCTCTCCTTATCATAAATAAAGCTATTGCATTCTGGTCTTTCGAGATATTGGCACCTTAACATTTAAAAAACTGAAACTAAATAAGAGAGATAGAGATATATTTATTTGTAAGCATACACGGTAAATACAGTTTACATGTTTAATATTACACTTATAGTTCAGCGTGTTGCGCCAGTAACTGGCATACAAATGTTAATAGCAAATACTATATACTATATAATAGTAAGTATTAGCGATGCCAATGCGATACAGTCGCCTTTGCACTTGGGATTTATAGGCGACTGCAATCGCCTTTACACTGGGGATTTATAGGCGACTGCAATCGCGTATAAATCACAAGTGTAGCTACTCGCCGCGTGTAACCACTCTAAGGGTCGTATTCCAGAACTCTACTCAATATTCAAGTCAGGACTTGAGTATTGCAGTGAGCACTGAAAATCATACATAAGTCCTTGCCATTAGGGTCGTATTTCCAGTGCAATCCTGACTTGAGCATTGAGTAGAGTTCTAGAATACAACCCTAAATAACACAGGACATCCTTGAAGAAAGTTACTATTTTTATTTTTAACCGACTTCAAAAAGGAGGAGGTTCTCAATTCGACTGTATGTTCTTTTTTTTTGTATGTATGTTACGCGATAACTCCGGTATTTGTGAACCGATTTCCATGATTCTTTTTTGTTGGAAAGGGGGTACTTCCATGGTGGTCCCATTTCATTTTGAAGAAAATCATCCACCTCTAAGGGTGGCTGTTGACGCATGAAGATTCATTTTTATAAATAGCGCCTAACTTTAATTTAGGAGCAATTATTTTAATGGTTGATTATGCTGTTTCTCAAAATTAAGGCGTTTTTCTCTCAATTTACTTTGAGTAGTGAGAACCGATTCTTATTATCTCCAGTGTCAAGTCCTGTATAGTGGCGAACTAGGGGATATTTCAATAAAACTTGGCAAATAGACGTAATTCCACGTACTTTTGAGGTCGGTTTTTTTAAGGAATAAGGATTGCCACGTGATCGAAATAATATGTAATAAGCAAATGAAATAAAACTGATGTCTAATGAAATGAGACAATTTGCACGTTGCGCAAAAGTATTTATTTATACGAAAATATAATTCTAATAATAATACATGTAACATTCTAGAAACGCATGAACTTTTATACAAATATTGGGTTTTTACATTGACTTACAATTATATGGACGTCGGGTCCGCGCTAAAAAGTGTCCGCACTTGTAAGGCGCTAAAATCGTATACAGAGCGCGAAACTCCGCTTTAGTCTTCATTTGTTCTACTGACAGCGCGATACTGCGATGACATTACAATTTAAATTTCGAATAGGTTGACTTGGGACATTTTTTTCGTGGTTTTTGTATTAGACCCGTCGTCCATTTATTTGTAAGTCAATGGGTTTTTAACTCTTATTTCTTGTTCAGAATGAACAAGTTACATTTGAATATATATACCTATTTATAAAATCAAGTGACGGAACGAACAAATTATGCGCCTAATGGTAGGCTACACAACATATCAGCTACAGTGCCACTCGGAGCTTCAAATCGGAAAGATCTGAGGGGCACTACCACTGCGCCTGTCACCCTGAGACATAAGTTGACAGGTCCCATGTTCCAGTAATTTCATCAGCATCCTTACCCTTCAAAACCGGAACACAGTAATGCTGATATTACTACTTGGCAGCAAAAATAGGTAAAGTTGCAGTACTTCTCTGGACGGACTTTTTTACAAGGAGCTCTACTGCAACTAATTACGTAACCAAACAAAACAACAACGGTCCAAAGTACAAAGTGTCAAGCTTGACGTGCTCTTAACTGTACTAGTGCAATACAATATTTTTTTTGTTAAAAACGTTCTAGAGGGCAAGATAGAATGGAGGTGAAGTATGTGAAAATAAAAAGAAAAGCATTAATTACACAGATAAAGGGACGGTAAATGTGGCGTTGTACAATTACGACCACATTACATAGAAGTTGAGGAAGAGTTCGACAAGAAAAGTGCTTCTAAACGTATTATTTTTTATGATACTATGTGACGGGACGAACAAGGCGTGTGTCTGGTGGTAAGCGACACGCCTGTAGTGTGTGTGTAGAAAAGCGGAAATCAACCGAATGTTACATTACACCGGCATTTGTTATTTTTCTGTCTATAAATCATACAATAGCCGAAATATCTCATGTAATTAGACTCACTTAAGTGGTTTATTCATAAGTCTTGCCGAATTTTGTTTTGGTTACTTTAGATTGCCTGTTTGTTAGTACATTTTGATGATTGTTGATAACGATTATTTTGAGATAGTGTTGTTCTTGTAAGCAGACATATTATCGATATTTTGTTATTGAAACAATTCACTTCGAGGTTTTTGTGGACATTTTTGGTTTAGGTAGGGAGGTTTTTTCCGTAGATAAGGCAGCTCCTTTCCTTTATTTTTTTCCATACTCTAAGACTTCCATATACTTTTTCCGGCCGGTCAGCAAAAAAAACGCAAAGGGTTTTCATATACTTCCTCCCGCATTTTAATATACAACAGAAATCATAGATTTAAATTAATTCTATATTGAACTCAATGACAGAAATGACGTACATACGTTGTGACTCATGTATAAATGAATATTATTTAATTATCCATTGTTATTGCCACTTTCCGAACAGGTGTACTATAAAACAAATTTCTCGTCAAGAATTCATGGTGTTTATGGTGTTTGTGTACTCGGTTTCGGTGTATTCAACATGGCGGCGCGCATGCTCCGTGTGGATTCGCCAGATGACGCGACCATGAAATGGGGCTGTGACACAACATACGCAATCTAGGTCACCTCAGTGACCTTGCGCGGTCACTAGACAACTGGCACGGTTTAAAATAACCTGCCATTGAAAACTTACAGGTTGTGTGTACGTGACTCCGGAAAAATTCTTAATGCGTTAGTGGCTATTTTATTTCTAGTGGAATAGCTATTTCCTTGTCCTGTATTTCTCACTATCTTGATATCTGATATTGATATGATATTTAGTGGCAGTAGAGCTCCTTGTGAAAGGGTTCGTCCAGGGAAATACTGCCACCTTACTTATTTCTGCCGCCAAGCAGTAATGTGAGCATTACTACGTTCCGGTTTTAAAGGGTAAGGGTGAAACTACAGGCACAAGGGATTTGTGTTTTTGAAATTTACGCTTCAATGTAACGGGCGCAGTTACAATGCCCCCAGATCGCACGGCTTGGTCGTCCAGTCACTTGGTATCATTAGTTAAGTTGTTATGTACAAATAAATATTTTTTTTATTTGGTCATTCACACATTAAATTTAAACACTCTTCTAGTATCAGACTCCTTCGAATTTTGTTCGCCTGAATAAATTCGGCTACAATATTCTTGTAACCTTGACCTCAAGGTGCACAAGTCAAATTCCTCGGAGGCATTTTTAGACGATTGTTTTAAAGAATTCGTACTTGAGTTCCGTTAGATCAGTCGGTAGGAGTCTGACATAACCCTCTGCTTTCCACGGGGCGCAGTAAATAACAATAATGATTATGGCGTTAAAAATATAGCTAGTTTTGATCAATGGAGAGAGCAATCTTTTATCTACAGTCTTATTTATTATTCACTGCTTCTTATTACTTATTGGTGGTGCCCTTTTTAAGACTTCGCTAACATCTAGTTTATAAAAATATAGCGAACGCCGCCAATGTCAATTTTAGCCTATGACTAAAAAGGACTAATTAAACTATACTAACGGATATATTTTTTGATTTTCTATGAGAAGGCAGACATAGACTCACGATGTAAAAATATCACAGAACTAACATCTCTTGATAGGTTTGCACGTTCTAACGTTGTTTAGTCTGACTAGATGTTATTGTTGCAACTCACGGCCGTGTAGACATCTGAGGCACGTGTTCCAGTCACATGCAACACTCCGGTATGCCCTTGAACCCCTGTTTGACTTAACGAATTTAACACTTGAGGAAACTAAAGCTTTAACAGCACGATATTAGAAGCAATAATAACATTTTCACAAATTAGAAATTTGTTCTAACAAAACCTTGTTACCTGATATAAATAAATAAATAAAAAAAAATAAAAAAAACAATTCACCTTTATTATATTATGCTGCTCGTAATTTGCGGTTTTTGAACACATCATAGAGTGTTTATATAGATAAAATAAATAACGCACACACTCATAATCCCACATTAAGGAAACCCTGTCGCGGGTGCCATGGACTAACATAGACCACCATAAATTACACCCAAACTCACGAGAAAATTAAATGTAGACCATAATTTTCTCTTTAAATCGCATCCGGGACCTCTGCGTGGTAGACCAGCATAGTAACCGTTCGGTCACGGAGGCAGTAAAATGGGTGGAAAAATCAGAAAGAAAATTACTATTGCGTACCACTACCAAAACTCTGCAATACTCAATATACAGTGTTTTTATAATTTCATAACAACAAGAGTATTACGGCAATTACCAAGGGACAATAAATTTATTTAAAAAAACTGGTTTCCAAAGTAAAATTATTTATAATGACTAGATAGATTTTTTAATGTTGTACAACGTAAGTTAAAAATATTTTTTGTGATTAACGTCAAAAATCACAAAAAGCCGCTACATCCTTTATAAGTACAGCTTTTTCTCAAAATGCTATTTTTGTCAGTGTTTCGGTTTGACAGGGCAGATTTAGGAACCTACTCGGTGTTATAATAAATGAGGAAATCTGCAAAAGTACCGAATCACAACGGTCTACATTAATATAACGAATTATTCTAATGTTGTTTTTTTTTATTTCAGCTACAACTCTAACGACGGTTTCGGCCGTGCTGTTGGCGAGCTCAACTTCGCCGCTCCATCTGAGGACGAGGCCGAATTCCCGACTGGCGCCTACCTCAAGAAGGGGAAGGTCTCGAGGGCAAGTTTTTACATGCCCATTTACCTTTTACATACATTTTGAGTATAATAACTTCTGACCGTCAAGCTACAAGTACCTAGCTGAAGTTATTCTATTTCCTTTGGAAACACTAGGGTAGCAACCATAAACTGAACTTCGAATAATTGACAATCTAAATTGTTTTTTGTTCGTTGCTTTTTGGCCATTGCAGAAGTTGTTAAATAATATTTAAATGTCGAATATGAACATAGTGCAAACAGTTACTTTAATAGAGACCATTATGTTAGTATAATAATTATGTTTAAAATTATAATATAGATTATTTCCGCACATAATTGTACTGAATTTGTATAGCTGTTTTAAATTTCAGTGTGGATCCTTAAATTTTTGTTTGCAATTTTAAAAAGTGACAATTGTAGAGCTGAAGATCTTGGCGGTAGAACATTTATTTCAATTGCTCCTAAGTCCACATACTTACAGCATTTTGTGTATTGGTTTACAGCAAGACCCAATGTCTCACCGGATAATCGAGAAGCGGCGCCGCGACCGCATGAACAACTGCCTCGCGGATCTCTCGCGCCTAATTCCGCCCGAGTACCTCAAGAAGGGCCGCGGGCGTGTTGAAAAGACCGAGATCATCGAGATGGCCATCCGCCACCTCAAGTATTTGCAGGAACGAGTCAACGGTTTGTACAATGGAACAAACAGACAATATGGTAAATTAACAATAAGGTTGAAAAGGTAAAAAACTCTAGTGCGGACCGTGCTACCCGCCAACGTTCCGTTGCGCGTAACCTTCCGTTTACCCATGTACCTATATATGGACGAAAAATGGGATCCAACGGAACTTGCCGCGCGAGCGCGATTTGCACTTCTGCTGTTTTTATCGTCTTCTTAATTTTAAGGTGCAAGTACAGTAGGCTTTCAGGTTTTCATGTGGGAAACTGTAAAACCGGACAGTCCTAGAACACTTGTAATTTTTGGCATTCCTATTCAGTTATTATTGTTGATAGATCGGACATACATAAAAATTCCTTCGATTCGATTAGACTCGAACTAACGTGTGATGCCTCACCGTGGCTATCACTCATTTCAAATGAGATAAGGAGTCTCTATCTCGAGCTGCAGAGACTCGATTTGTAGCTCAGTTGGTAAGAGCGGTAGTCACGATGAGGCAACAGACACTGGCATTTTTCTTTGTGCATAGTCGATCTTTGTGTATCTATAATAACAACAAAGTAGTGGAATATTTTCACAAATATATAAATTAATATCATGGTAGCAAATTCAATAAAGTATTCCTATTCAGTCTTTTTCTTACTTGAGTATTCAAGTTTTCTGTTTTACAAATTCTGATTTACTATTTTTTTTCCAAAAATACTAAGAATACAACCCTCTACCTCTACGTAAAGTAACGATAGTTTGGCGAATAACATTATTTTCTTCAGAATTATTTCAAAAGTTTTTAGATTTTGTAACAAATAACAACCGAGCAATTTTATATAAATATAGATAGTTGTTACAAAGGTACATTTTCTCGAAATTATTGAAAAAATTTAGCACTCACTACGCTTGCAGCATAGTACCTATTTAAAAATGACCTCATAAATCTCATAAACGTTTACATTGCCTTAAACTTTCAATGCTTTGGGAATTTGTATATAACACGAATTAATTAGGTAATTACTTACTTTACAATCAATGTGCCTTTCTATGGACTTTGTTCATGACATTTTTGGGTATTTATTTAATATTGTGGTATTTAATTGTTTTGTGGTCACATCTCTTTATTTTCATGAGGTTTATTCTTTTCTATTTATTTTGGCGATACCTAAAGATAGGGATTTAGTAGTAGGTTATCATTCATATGTTAGTTTACCCTACGATGATAAAATGTCTTTTCAATAGAAACAAATTTATTTTGATGAAAAACAAGTTTTTATTTTGTTTCGAACGCAATTCAAAAGTACCTGGTACATCATTGGTGATTTGACATTATTAAGATTTGTTAATACCAATAGCAATATTTATTGAAATATATTTAGAAGCGAGTGCTAACCTGAAGGAAACCTAATGTTGTCGGGAGAAAGACGAGTTGCATCCCGTGGGTTCTGTTTATAGCTACCGAGAGGCAAGGTGAAGAGTATCACGCTGGGTACCAAGAAGCCGTGACGGAGGCCGTGCGATACCTGGTGGAAGTGCAAGGATACGGACCTGGAGACGCCCTTAGCGCGCAGCTAGCTGCGCATCTGCATAGACATCGCGAACATATTATCAAAGGTAGGAAAATAAAATCAACTCTCTAAAGGCGGCATCCCACGGTCCGTGACCCGTTTAGCGGCCCGCCCCGTGGAAAGAGGGCCGCCTGAGCGCGCCCGTGCTCGCCCGTGGCGGCCTGTTCGGGTCCGCCTCTGGTCGGTAACTTTAAAGGCACGGCGGCGCGATAAAATTGGTCAAATATCCGTTTTAAATAGAAAAAGAAAGAGTACAAAATTGTCTTTTAAATACAGTTAATATTAGTTAACGTGTTCGATTTATCGGAACTTACCCTAAACGATGCATAACTGAAACATCATAAAACAATTTTGAATATTGTAAAACTGGGTTACGATTTTTGAGACTCAAAAAATTATACTTTCACTTAGCAGATGTTTTAGCGTCGTATTCCAGAATTATACTCAATGCTGAAATCAGGACTTGAGTATGATTTAAAGCATTAGAAATCATACTCAAGTCCTGACTTGAGTATTGAGTAGAGCTCTGGAAGTATGACCCTAAGTTAGCAGACGACAGCTATGCTCTCGATACAAATCTCAATATGCGCCGCCACCCGCGTCGTTGACCCACGGCTGCACGGACTCGCCCGTTTCGCGAGCTCGCCCATATAAATCGGCCCGTTTAACATCACGTGCCGAAGGAACGCACCATAACGATAAAATCGTGGCCTATAGCTGCCTCCAAACGGTTACCATTCTAGTTTGCTACGCAGGGGTCTATTCCCGGGCCGGGAACAATATTGTATGGCATACATTTAAATCTGTCGTGAGTTTGGGTGTTATTGCATTACACTTCACAGAAATTTTAATACACGTTAAATAAATATTTAAACAAGGTATTGCTACTTCTAGCATTAACGAACAAAATTTATAAGTCGCTTCTCAGTGCATAGATACAAACATGAAATATGTCTTGCAAATTAGAATCGCAAATAGGATAATCAGTCACGTGTAGGTGTATAATTAAGTTAATAACTGAGGTTATTTGTTAGTTATAATGTTATTTAATACTTCATATATGTATAAATAAAGGACGTAATAAAACATTGTAATGCACCATTTACAGCCTTACGAAATTTAGTTTCTTGGGTTCAGCAACATAATCAATTACGAGAGTATGAACATAGAAAAAACTCTTCCTCACTTGTAAAATTTGCAACGCTTCCGAGTGGCACCAAGTGCGTGGCGCGTAGCCAGTCGGTGGTTGCGCGTAGCCAGTCGGTGGTTGCGCGTATGGCTATTATATTATTCGAATATCAAAATCAGGCGAATATTCGATTTGCAAGCCCTAGCGATGACCCGCGCTGTGCAACTAGAGTGCACCACGAGATTATGCGAATGTGTATGGCTGTGCACGACACGCGCGCACACATTCAATCCGCGCTGCTATGTTTATATGGAGTTAAGTTATACTACTTGTCTTATTGTACCATACTTAAACGGTGAATAAATTCATTTTATACGAGATACATATCTATGTACCAACCTCGAAATTCATGTAACCGATACATATTGACTATTCAATCATGTCAATCATGCTTTTTAATAATTTTCAGGCGTACCAACGGACTTAGCCCGAGAAAAGGTGCGTTCACAACCCGGCTCATCTTCCGAAACAGCCTCATCTTCAAGCAGCTCCCACGGATACGTGGTGAAGGGGGGCGGGGTGATAACGCAAGCGCCACCACCCCCCGCACCCTCTTTCCCGGCCGAGGTATACGAGCAAGAGCTGGCACCAGAACAACATTACCAGCCTATGGATTGCGACAGAAGTAAGTTCTACCACAATTTACATAACGCTGCAAGGAGTTAGAGAGAGATTTATTTATTTATTTAATCAGGCTCTCACAACAATGAGTACACTATAATTATGCAGGTATACAGACACTATGGTTTTAAACTAAGTGTCCCATTACGTAAAGGAGTTCACAGCATGCACTAAAATAAATACATTAATATTTGGTTAGGCATGACGATACAAAAGTACAATCATTATAAACTTATCACATCACTTTCTTTATCATAGAAACAGAAGTACAATTTAGATAAAATTCTCTCTGATACTCCTTATACAGTGTTATTGCTCGTGATAAGAAACAATGTAGCCTCAAGTTTGTGCGACATCTTGGCCTATGGAAGAGCCTATTACTACCAGACCTCGATCATTGTCGCGGATAAGGAATTTTATTTTAGAGAGCAGACCAGGGCAATCAATAATGTCTGAGTCAATTCTTTATTAGAGATTAAGAACTTGGACTCACTCTTGAGTATCATAAACGCTAGGAGTCCGCCGAAATCGCCCTTTCTAGCATGGCCTAGTTTGCCGCTGCCACTGAAGAGCCGTTCTTATGAGTCAATACAACCTCAAATGGCTTTAGTTGATTTCGCATAGCAGTGAAAGTGTTGAATCAATTGCTTTGGAAAAAATATGTAGTAAAATTGAGTATTTTCACGATAGAAAAAAAAAAACTTACCTCGAAATGTTACAGGAACACCGTTGTATTCAATAGGTACCTTACACAGCAATGATTTTTTTAATATCAACTGAACTAAATAGAACATTATAGTATACGATATTCATTTTTCAAATGCTTTAACATTGTTTGTAAAAAAATAAATTTTGAAATAAAGCCAGTGTTCCTGCCGTTCGGCACAATAGAACCGATTCACTTCGGGAAAAATTTCGCACCCCTCGTGGAGGAATGGCATAAGTGGAGTTACGTTAAAAATGTTTATTGCGCCATTAGATACACAAATATAACCCACATCCTATTCTTGTAACTGTAATTTGTGGCAATATTAGTCGATAGAGAATTGGAGAGGATGTGGGTTATATTTTTCTGTACGTAACGTAACTCCACTTATGCCAATCTTCCATGAGGGGTGCCATTTGAATACGAGCGAATTATTGACTCTTAACCAAAATGAAAAATTCCACGGAAATCATTCAACGAAAATATTTTACAGTATCAATAAGCCAGCCTTCAACTGCCCCGGAATCGGATCTGTGCGAAGAGCCCCTACCCCTGGACGGGCGTCGAAAGTACGAACCGTCAGTCGCGCTGCGGGCCGTCCGTAAGCTAGATCACGACGACTACCTGCAATCATACAAATTCAAAAACTCCATTGAGCGTCGGTTCTCCCGCTCACAAGATACTGAGGTAATTTTAAAAATTACACACCAAACAGCTGTATGCCTTTTTGGTTTACGTTTTTTGTCAACAGCATTTCATATCTGTTGGTCTTCTCGGTTATACATATACATACAGGTTGTAAACATGATTTGAAAAAAAATTGAGGTGTTTATTATTACATTATTCTCGTGCTATGTTGAAATACCTTCGTTAAATTCAGTACTTATTGAATTTAACGAAGTTTGAATACCAGCAGCTTGATTTTGATTGCCTCTCCCGATCGGAAACTGGGTCTCTTCGAGTCGAGGCGCATAATTGCGATTCTCAACTGGCCGATTGGAAACTTTTGACATTTCAAATCGGAACAGTAGTTGATTTAAGTCACAAATTAGAAAGATATAGTAGGAATCAGGTTCATCTTCTCGCTCGAAAATCCATCTGATTTCGAGACTCGGATGGGCTACCCGATCGGATCGATGCCGGATTGAATTAAAATCAGCCTGCTGGATCGCAGACTTGGAACTCGATTGTGGGAGTGTGATTATGAAATGAAGAGACCGGGGAAAGAATGATCAAAGTCTTAAAACAGGTATTAAGCTAGTTAAACACTGAGCGTAATTTGCCAAAGGGCGTTCCCATTAGTTGTGACGATAGATAGTCGTGCAATTTAAAGTGTCGTGGCTTGTACATTTAAATAAAGTTGTTCACACAACACGATTAGATGTCCTTCACGTCTTCTTTGACGTTACGACGACAGCCTGTCGTGTCAATGGGAATAGCTAGAACGACAGTCGTCAGACGATAAATAAAACGTCACGATCTAGCGGGAACAGATGGACACAACAGTCGTTCAACGATAAAATAAACGTCCACGACACAGTCACGACAAATACTCGTGATATGGGAACAGGCTAGAGGCGACTGTCGTCCAACGATAAATAAACGACATAATGGGAACGCGTCCTAAATCAGAAAACGGCAAGTTCAATGTCCTGAAAAATTAGCTTTTACTTATACTCATAAAAATGCTTACGACTTAAGTAAGGACTAAAGGTAGTAAAGTTAAAAAAGATTTATAAATATTTTTAATTAAAATGGATTACATAGCGTTACATACATGTATGTCAGCATTAACTTTATTTCAGGTAGTATTTGTGCGTGTCTTTGTCGCCAATATTTAAAAGTTTTTCAAATTAAAAATTCTGTTTTTCCAAAAACTTCGTATAAAAAAAATTAAGTAATCCAGAAGTTAACTATGTCTGGATGCCCTGTTTTTTTTATATCTAGTGACGGGAAGAATAAGTCGTGCGCATGATGGTAAGATGTTAGTTGCAGTGCCACTCTGCTCTTTAAATCGTCAAGATCTGAGAGGTACTGCCACTGCGCCCGTCACCCTGAGACATAAGTTGTCAAGTCACATGGGACTGCCTGTAATTTCACCAAAAATTAGTCAGTGACCCTACCTCCAAATTCCTTCTAAACATCCTTGAGCTAGTACTTATTATGATACCTTATCAGTTTTATCTGGTTTCGGTATCTTATATGGTAAATTAACGTAATGCAGGTGACGGAATCGGGCCGCGTTGCCTCGCACTGCAAGGTGTACAACCACAAGCGACGAAGGGCTGCTAAACCTGCACCTTCGACGTCCACGTCGAACTCCGGATCTACTGAAGATGCGAGAGACACTTCGCCACAGGTATGATTAAACAATAATAATGATGATGATAGTCATCATCAAAATCATTTATGTCAGGCAATTTGGCCTATATTTCTTAATTACAATAAGTACAATGAAATTGATAAAACCATTGATTCACAATCGCTAAGTAAACTTCATTAAAAAAAAACCTTTTTTTTTTTCATAAATTCATTAATTGTTGCGCAAAGGTTACTTTTTACACTGCTTAGGTTTCTTTTTTGCTAGATATGAGGTATAGCATAAAAAAATATACAGTACGTGTATTTTATTCATAATTGACATGTCAGTGTTCTTACTTTTTTGAAACCTACAAATTAATGATATGATAAATGTTTTTAGAAATTTACTAAAATATCAATTGAAATTGCATTTTAATTATAGTTGTGTGGTTTATGCCATCAATATATACAAAACAATTCACACATCTATACTGCTGTCGCTAGTTGAAAGGGCGCACGTTCGACCCCTCCTACTTAAAGTATCGTATGTCGAAATTGCCAAGTTTACAGGAG